AAGTTCTATAATGTGATGAGGACGCTGTTACAAAAATAGTTAGGTATATACTGACATGAAGATTAAATAATGGATAGAGAAGGAGGGGCCATATCCCATGCTTGTCCCTTCATAAATTTGTCCTTGAATGTAACTTAACCCCTTCTCATTGAGTGAGCAACTTTGACGGATAATTTAATGATGCATGTGGATCATTGAAAATCATTTACTAATTGTCATTTGTATTTATTTTTTTTACAAAATCAAATAAAATTATTTTAAATTATTAGTTACAATTGTTTTATAGTGTGATATAATTACATATAAAAAATATTTTAAAATCTTTTTTTTCATAAATACTTCAAATGAAAATTTAGTTTGAATAGTTATTTTTAAAATGTTATTTTAGATATTTCATCATTTTATTAAAAAAATATTGAATATCAAAATTTAAAATGTCAAAGTTAATCTTTAAATTTGAAAAAATAATTAATATAAAAAAATTTATAATATTTTTAAAAACAGTTATATAAAATTTATTTTTAAAAATTCAAAGAAAAATCCATTTTCTTAAAGTTAAAACATACTGATCGTTAATTTCAAGCTGACAAAAAAATTTAGGTCTGTATATTGTCTTGCATATGTAAATTTAAAACGCATATGGATTTTTTCTTCAATAATAACTCCCTTCCCTTAAAAAAATTTCAAAATATTCTACATTCAAAAAAAAAAATTTTAAAATGCCATTTTATTTAAGATAATTATTTATTACACTTAAGTGGTGAAAAAAGAACCATATAAAAATTCAAAAATATCTCTCAAATTTAAAAATGTATTTTGGGACTTACCATGAGTCTCAATGAAATACGCCCTGACTGGATTTCACTCAAAAAAATTTAAAATTTTGTCTAGAGATACAATTTAATTCTAGGGAAATGCTAACCAGTGCCCTCAGGGCACTTTTTAAAACTTTAAATAGTAAATTTTTATAAAAGTATCTGCAATGATGTGTAATAATGTACATTAGAAATTGAAGTGTTTGAATTTTTTAAAGAATAATTTCTTAATATGGAATGTTTAAATAGTGCCCTGAGGGCACTGGTTAGCAAGACCCATAATCCTAATATAAGAACTAAGTGACAAATGCGGAAAGTGCATTTCTAAAGTTGTGAAGCGGGAATTTGAAAGTCAATCACATTTGCATGTCAGTCTATTTTGGATGTACATTTTCTAAATTGTCAAACATTATTTTTATTAAAATAGAATCATGCATGATCAAAACACCATTACCATTTTTTCTCAAAACCCTTACAAAAAATTATTCCATTCTCATTCAACATTTACACTCCAAAACTTCATCTTGTGTTTCAATAAATCAAAAGGAACAATAGAAGCTGGAATTCAAAGTAAATATCATTTATTTCATTCCTCATTGCTCACATGAATCTGATTTTTGAGCCGAAAAGGTTATGTTAAGTCCAAAAATGAATTTCTGAATCCTATATGAATTTCTATGGAAGTGAATTTCTTGAATAATTCAGTGTTCATTTTAATCTATTTTTGAATATTTTATGTTATTGTTTGCATTACATATGATGCACCCTGGTGTTTTCCTCAAATATATTGTGGCTACGGATGTCAAACGTGTAGATATGAAAGAGGTAGATGTTGACAACCAATTATTTACAATTGGGCAAGAGTTTGAGTTTCAAGATCATATGCTCCAATAGAATAGCATTGAGGCATTTAAATTTAGGTTTGATGTTGTAATCAGAAGGTCTGATAATGGTTCAGATAGAAGAACTACATTTGTGACAATGACACGTAAAAAAAGTGCGAAGTACCAATTCCTCTCTGAAAATTCAAATGAGATGACACTAGTTTGAGAAAATGTGAGTGCCCCTTTATGTTCTTTTATAAATGGTTCGGTTCGGGAAAAATTGTCTTCTAACGCTGCAGCACGGTTCGGAATTTCTAAATGGTATACTAAATCAATTACTTTGGTTCGGTTTGATTTTGAGTAAATTAAAACGGTTTTGTTCAGTTCGAATAAATTTTTGCTATAATTCAATTCGGTTCGATTTTTTCGCTAAACTAAATCGTGAACAAGTCTACCAGAACTGTCTAAAAATAAAAATTACCTATAAAAAGAGTATGTATTTCTTGCTTTTATGTTTTTTTCCTCCTCTGAAAACGATTTGACTAATTGAAGATTATTGTATAATGATTTAAGTCATGTTGGTTCAGTACATTGACACTTATTATTAGTGGGTTTCAATGTTTCTCCCAATAGCTCTTCGGAGAGGTGACATTCTTGATTTGTTTGACCATTCTTCATCTTCCTATCAATACATAATTCCAATAACTTGTAGACACCTTCAAAAGTAATCTTGCATTCTTCTATTAGAAGATAAAATATGTGTATTTGGTTTTTATTTTTGAACTCTTCAATCACAACCACTACGTTATCGAATCTTGACATCAACAATTTTGTAATTCTTGTGTAAATTTACTAATGGTTTCATTCTCGTCCATTTAAATTAATTTTAAATGCCTTTTGTGAGTTTGTTACTCCACCACCTTTATCTTATCAACTCTTACATAACTTTTCTTTAAAATTTCTCAAGCTTTTTTTAAGGATGTACAATCAACATTCTTCTCAAAGTTATCAACATCAACACATTAATGAGTAAGATATAAAGCTTTGAAATCTTTCATTTTCTCTTTCATATATGCAAACTTTTGTACAACTCTTGCACCTTCTACAAATTAATTAACATCATTCTTGATCACTTTAAAAACATCTTAATAACCAAACATCACTTTCATCTATTTGTACCACTTGTGATAATTTTTCGCATCAAGAATTAAGAGATTTGCATAAATATGTTCATTGGAGATGAAAAGTCTGTTTGCACACTATGTATTCAATCAAAGAACATGATTCTTCCTATTCATTAAAGATGAAAAACAACTGTTGCACCTTCTACAAGTTAATTAACATCATTCTTGATCACTTCAAGAATATCATGATAGCCAAATATCACTTTCATCTATTTGTACCACTTGTCATAATTCTTCAGATTAAAAATTAAGAGATATATTCATTAGAGATGAAAAGCCTTTTCGCACACTATATATTCAATCAAAAAATCTAACTCTTAACGTTCATTGAAGAGGAAAAACATTTTCGTACGCTAACTCATAATTCTTATTGACTCATAATTCTTATTTAAAATAGTCTCCTCTTATTTTTGATAATAACTAATTTTCATTTTATCAAATTATAATTTCTTCTTCTCATAAAATAAAACAGATTTTTCACACTTTTTATAACAATTTAATAATTCTTCATTTTTAAAAAGAAAAATATGATTCTGAATATTTCTTTAAAAATACTATGATTCAAAGTTTTAAAAAAAAAAAGTTTCTTCTTATCTTTAAACAAATTTCACTTTTATTATTTTCTTTAAATTAAATCATGTTGTATTCATTTAATGTAAAAACGTAATTTTTAACTTTTTAATAACAAATTTTATTTTTCATAAAATAATCTTTACTCTCAATTTTAATCAAATCACAATTTTTTTCATAAAGAGAAATTATATTCAATTCACTTATTCTTATTAATATTTCTTTAAAATATGCAATTTTTAATTTTTATTAATAACAAATTTTATTTATAAATATAAAAAAATATGATCTTTAAACAAATTTAATATTTTTTATTTAAATAAAATTATATTATATTTACCTAAAATTTACTATAAAATTGATATATTTTAATACATACAAAATCATATAAAAAATAAATAAATAATAATGAGTAATAATTAACCCGAAAAAATATATATAAAGTGAACAATAAAAGTATTAAGTTTTCTATCATTTTAAACATTAATCAAATTTTTATTTTTTTTTATTCTCAACTACATTTTTATGTGCTCATTATTTATTATTTAATTTTTTTATACATATTTTGAACATTATTTTGTATTATATTTAAAATTGAAACAATTTCATTATTTACTTTAAATAATAGAATATGATTTTATTCAAAGAAAATAAAAAATAAAATAAAAAAGCAAAATTTGTTTAAAAATAAGAAAAATAAAATAAAAAAGCGAAATTTGTTTAAAAACAAGAAGTTTTTAATTAAGAATTTTTATTTTTTAGAAATATTTAGAATTGCGTTTTTTTTTTAAATGAAGAGTTATTTAATTCTTAGAAAATGTGGGAGAGATTTATTTTATTTTATAAGAAGAAATTATGATTTGATAAAATAAAAGTTATTTATTACCAAAAATAGAAGGAAACCATTTTAAGTAAGAATCATGAGTCACTAAATGGTTGATTTTACCAAGTAGATTAAAATAACAACAAAATTTTAAATGAGTGTAACTATTAATGCAATACATTGGTGTAATTTGATCTCGATTATAAATATAAAATGTAAATCCTATAATTAAAAAGTGAAGAATATATTGCAATTAATATATTGAAAAAAGAAAAAGCTAATACTTTCATTTCTATATTAAAATTGATGTGATAGATTATTGATTAATTCAAACATTAAACTGGAAAAAAAAACACTATTTTAACCGAATATAATAGCTGAATTGCATTGTGTATTTATTTCTACAGTTAATATGAAAGAGAAAAAAAACACTATTTTTCTGTATTTATTTCTACAGAAAAAAAACACATGAACAATTTTCAAAAATTAAATCCCGAGTATTACACGAGATACTGATTAGTAAAAGAGATTATCAAAAACAGATAAAAATTATATTTAACTGCTTTTGTGATCTTTTAAGCAAAGAAATGAGAGAGAAATTCACTCATAAACAAACAAAATTTGGAATAATCGAACAAGAGATGAGACCATTCACCTAAGACAAACAAAGAACCTCAATAATGGGTCCTATAATCCGCACAAAAATTTTCTGGATTTATTTTCTGCACTGCTCTTGAAAAATGGAAGTATGCATGTATGTGATTCAGAAAACTTGTCATATTGTTCATTTCGCATGGAACATGCGGTTCACAGTTTCGTAACTTGGCACGTTAATAACTGTCGTAAAAAAAAGACAAACGACATCTCGTTAATCAACGTTCAAGATTCAGCATTAACTATGAGTGAAGAAATATTAATGAAAGTGTAGAAGTTAAATGTATTACCATCTCCATATGATGCCATGGTCAAAGGTGAAGAAATAATCTTTTGCGATATTTTAGTGATATCGTTCAGAGTGATTTCATCTACAGCCTTCAGGAACTGTTCCACGGACTTTCTGAAAAATGGTAACAAATTCTTACATTAACAAGAATTGCATTTCCAATGAAACAATTAATCACTTTTGGTGCTGAGAAGAGATGATTTTACCTTTCTCCGTATGTCAAAATCTGCCTTCCAATATCTTCTGACGCAATCATCTGAAAAAGAATGAAGATTGTTAATAATGCTAAACACTAGTATTATAAACGAGACGCTAAACCGTATTTTACACTTCTTCCACAGTACTTTAATCGAGTTTATATGCCATAAAGAAGGTGAGTGCTTACTCTAGATTCCAGATTCATAAGAACTGCAGATTTTGTGGATTTTTTGGCACGGTCGAGCTGTACCTGTGAAACTGTCGATGAAATAAGAGTTAGCTTAATCTGACAGAAATTAAAATTAATACTGTGGAGACAAAAGAGGGGTGGAAATAAAACCTTGTCCAGGCGATGCAATTGCTATTAGTTCTCTGGCTGCTAAGTCTACAGCTTTTTGTACAAACTCAGGGCCCTACATCGACAATTTAGAAAACGTGTCGGCTATATTAAATTATCCATGTAACTGAATGCCTCAACTGCAAAAGGTTTTTCTTACAGTGCTTGCGTAAATGCCGAATAGTCCTGTATTGTTGAGCATACTGTTGAATGCAGAAAAAGATTGAATCTGTTGATATTCATTCAACACACGAAGATCTGGATTCAAACAAGTGAGACGGTTAGAGAAAGCAAGTCAACATGAAGATATGAATAAAAGTGCAAAAGAAGGCGTAGGCAAAACTTACATAGCCTTGAGTGCATCCCTTTACCGGGGCCCCCGGCTGAGAATGAACCGCCTCCTCCCATAAGCATCTACATTAATCAATTATTAATTCTATTCAAACATTCCTTTCTTCCTTCAGAAAGGATGCAAAAACCAAGAACAAAGTTTTACTTGTAATGAGAAAACGAGACACAAGATGAATACCTGGAGAACAGTCAAAACTATAGCATCTCTCTCCTGTTGCCAGCCACCGGGCACTTCAAAAGCAATAGCTACATGTGCGGCCTGCTCTTGCAATTAACATTACCATGTAAATAATAGCATTTTTCAAGGGAATAAATTACAATAACGATATGCGAGAATATTTGAATGGTATAATGTAAAAAAAAAGTAATACACACCCCTTCTTCACCGTGACGACGGAAATCACCTCCAACATAGGTAGACTTTGGTTCTTCGGGGCGGGGAACACTTGGTAGGTCAGCAAGAAGTGGCTCAGCAACTGATAGAAGCTCTTCATGCTCAACCCCAGATGCAGCTAGTACCATTCTAGGAGCTGTGTAATTTTCCTGATTTTTTCACACCTAGAAAATTAGATTCTCAAATAGATTGCAAGTATAAAAAAAAGCAGGAAGAAGAAAGTGCAAGTTTGGCATAAAATGATACCAGTAGTATTCATGCAGTATCAGAAAGGATAACGGATCTTACAGCAACAAATTCCTCTAAACTGGGGCCATCCAATCTGTTTAGTGCTTCTTCAGGAGCCAAAAGAGGATAAGCCAGTGCACCAGAATAACCAGCAGAGTGAATTGCTTCCAAAAGCAAGCCCTGGGGATTGTTTGAGAGTTCTCCAAGCTCTGCCTTCACCTTTCGAAGCTGTAACAACAGAAGATTTAACAGGTTCAGAAGGATTGCCATAATAACTATACTCTCAAATAGGATGGCATGATCATATCACAAGTCCAATAGCAATGTATAGAACTTAAGTCTCACGACAAAAAAGGTAGGATGCTATCGGGGTTTACACTTTACATGAACTTGGCCTATACCACCACAACAGCTAGCATTCATAGTTTATTAGCAGATTTCCCAATGTTCGTCATATCAATTGATTTCAAGGCTTTCCAACCCTGAGTGCATCAAGGATGTGGAGGTAGGGGACAAGAGTCTCTTGTCGGAAAATTGGAAGTATAGGATATACACCCTCCAGCCACTATTATAAGCAAAGATTCCATTTCCAGACTCATTGAATAACTTACGTATTTGGTCTAGTTATAGACCAGATACATTAATTATTCAATGAACCTGAAAAAGAGAATATTTTCTTATAGTAGTAATGCCCATTTTATATGGCCTTGGACCCTCACACCAGAATGTCTGGTTTTTCTGTTATTGTGATCCCTAGGTTTGTATCGGCTTCTCATACACGAAACGGAAAAATTAAATAAATAAACACGGTGCTTAAAATCGACATTAAGTAATATTTAATCTTGCACTCAGCATGAGTTGGCGTCTGAACTTAGAAGGCTACATTATGCATTTAAAAATATAAGGAATGGCTAGCTTTCTTTCCCTTTCACTCACATACAAATTATTCAACTATTGATATACATGTCCGAAAGGAATATCCTAGGTGATGGAACACTTTTGATGTTTCATTTTTCATAAGTTTTTACTGCAACAAAGCATTTTGGGGACCATATTATTATTTTTCTATAAAAGTGCCTCCTACTACAACTAAATATTCATTTAGTGCAGAAAATGATGCATGAGCTTTAGAACATACGAGAATAATAGTTATAAATACCTCTTCATTGACCTCCCAATCCAAGAAGGCTGGGTTCCTTACACAGTCAACCAGTAACTCAACCATTTGTGGAACGTAAGTCTTTAACGCATCAAATGTGTAGCCCATTTGTTCCCGAGTGGCCGAGGCTCCTATATTACCACCAATTGCTTCTACTTCCCTTATAATACGAAAATGACTACGGTTAACTGTGCTCTTGAAAGCCATTCTCTCTAGCAAGTGTGAAGCCCCACTTGACAACGGTGACTCATAGATGGAACCACAATCAAGATATAACCCAATTGAAGCTGCAGGGTTCTAATAAACAACCACAACAAAAGAAAAATCAATAAATGCCACCCAACCAAATCAAAAGCACCATTCAATCTTAACAATAGCATTATCAATTTGCAATTGAACACATATAACCATACAAAATACCAGAAACACAAACATACCGACGAAGTCTCTGACGCGATTTTGAGTCCATTGGCAAGAGTTGTAATCTTGGTCTTGCTTGGTTCAACATAATCAGGTAAAGGATCAGGAAGAACAACAGAACTAAGCGGCGTATCAAGAGGGGGAAGTGAACTAGACCGCTCCCCGGTAAGCCAGCTAAACAAACCACCAGAGGAAACCTTAGCAGCTACCGCACTTGAAGTATTAAACCTAGTAGCTCCCAAGTTGCCACCGCGGCCCTAAATAACACAGATTCATTACACAACATTATACAAACAAACAGCCTAAAAAGCCGTGATACATACAAGAACACACCACACGACATTGACACGTCAACACTTGCAATAATATGAGACAGTTATGTAATCAATGCCAACACATTTCAATCGGAAATGTGGTTTCTACATATCAAGCAGCAGCAGCAGCATTCACCACAACGTGAATAAAACAAAAGCCAATAGGAAAAATAATAATCATAATAAAATAATCAATAAATTTGAGGATCGGCAAATTGAGAATTAATTTCATATAATGAATAATAAATGAAGCAGAAATAATAGGTTCAGTGTCCTAATTCTTAATCCACCCACTAAACTGATTCCCTAGAAAACCAATAAAGAAACAATCTTTTCGTATAGAAATCGAAATCTGCTATATGGGTAGGTTCCAAAAATATAAATTGGTCCTAAACATGAATAAAATGGTAATGGATGAAAAAGATGATACCTTGAGATGCCTCTTGAGTGATGAAGCTGTGGCTCTATACATGACGAATGTGGAAGAAAATGAAACCCTAAATCAGAATGAAGTTCAGATTTGGTTTTAGTTTAACCTGTGTATGCCGAGAAACCTATGATTCTGTGAAGCAGGACAACACAACCGAGAGAGAAACACCTTTCCTTTAGAAATGGTCAATCATATTTATTTTTAATTAAATAAAATTAGCAAGAAACTTGGGCCGGTTTGAACCAATGTGTATATTTAAGTTGGGCTGAACACGGCCCATGATTTGAACAGGCAACCATATCTTGAGGAATTGGTAAAGAAAAATAAAGAGAATTTTTTATTGTCCGTTAAAACTTTTAACATATCATGTGAATCTTTACATGTGTTTCTTAACTTTAAAGATATATTTTCGAATTTTGGAGATACATCTTCGAAACTATTTTAAACATTTAAAACATGTCACTTAGATATCATTTACATTTGAATTGTTCCGGAGATGTGTATATCTGGTAATAATCCGGAAATATATTTCCAAAGTGTATCAGAACATGTGTTTTTTCCTATAAGTTGTGTATTTATTTTTAGATGAAGTATGAAGCACGGTCTCGAATAAAATAATGGACGTACAAATTAATAAGAGACTAATATTTGGTGTGTTGAAAATAATATAGCAATATAATAGAAAAATGTCGTACATAACGAAATCCAAAATGTAGTAACAATGTAAGAAATAAAGTACAAACTATGGTACTACAATAAAATAATAACTGACAACTACTGGGTGTGTCTGACAACCTCTCATATATCTCATATGCCTCATATGTCTGCTCTGCCTCCTCGGTCATCAATCCCCCCGTCCTCCGGCGATTTCTCCAGTATAATAGTGTCTTATGTGCCTCCGCCACCATGGCATCTAGGACTCGCTTGACAGTAGACCCCTCAGGGAAGATATTTTCGTCAATGCTTGTTCGTGCAATCTCCATTATGCGATGACACTGAGGCAAGACATCCTTAGTATAATATATATTTCATCATGTGAAAGATGAAATGAAGATGTCTCAGAGTGTCATCTCTCCACGAATGCATTAAGAATCTTGTGGTTGACCAGAGTGTAACTAGTCATGCATAGGTCCTTCAGACCAGATAAAGATAGAACACTCTGAAACCAATCATTCTCCTACTGAAGCAATGTAGCAATCTTCCTCCCATGGTTCAGAAACTTCTGGGGATTACGCTTCTGAAATTTTCCAGAAATAAACAATGTCAGTAATAATCATTGTCAAAAATTAAAATTAAAATTAACGCATGAAAAAATAAAGAATTCAACTAATGTTACCTCTATGTCCCAGATATGTCTAACAGTGTGATTTGGATGCAGAGGAAATAGTGACATATCATATGGTCCTCCTCCAAAGCCCTCTGGCTCAGCATTAGTGGGAGGTGGCACTAAATCCTTGGGAGGTTGCATTAGTGAATCCTGACGCATGCGGGAGGATGGGGGAAGTGACACGTCAGATGGTGAATCATGTCTCCTACAGAAAGAAGAAGAATGTATAGTGGCCTGAAATGAAGATGATGTGGGAAGTGGCCTGAGATAAAGGTGTAGTGGCCTAAGATGAAGTGGCTTAAGGTGAAGGACGAGCCCCTTGAGTAGACTGCACCCTAGAAGTCGACGCCTCTTCCTGACCAGATGTACCTGTTGGCTCCGCTCCCACCGAACAGAAGCATGCTAGACAACCCGGCCATGTCTCAGTCTGTCAACTCTATCAGTCATAATGCATGTAAGGTGAAGTAAAGTGTATCATTAGTGCGCGCAGATAAAACACACAAACAAGAAAATAAAAAAATAAATAAAAAGACTGCAGAAAATTCCAGAGATGCATCTCCAGAAACACCATAAAACAATAACGTTGAAAATTTCCGGAAATGCATCTCCGAAAACACCATAAAACAATAACGTTGAACAATTACAAAAATGCATCTCCGAAAACACCTTAAAACTATTTACTTCGAATACTTCCGAAGATGCATCTCCGGAATATCCCAGAGGATACGAAACACTAAACAATTCCGGAGATATATCTCCGGAATATTCTGCAACTCATAGGTCACGACAATGACATAATGTACCTCTCGCAATGTGGAAAAAATGATTTATTCGTCATTTTAAGTCAACAAATAAGTCATACACTAAGTTTAAACTATGTTACTTGTGATTTATACACATTTCTACCCTTAATCACTTATTTTTACACATTTACACTAAAACTCGAATATTTACCAAAAGCTTAAAAAAACTCACGTGAAATTGATGATTCAGATGTTGTTTTCGATATAGAGATGATGTTTGATGTTCCCTTGAGTTCCTATGACGCCTTGCTTGATGAATTTTGATGCTTGTGATAATAGATGAAATTGAGAGAGTTTGGTGTTTTGTGTGGAACAAATTGTGAAACGATGGAAGAGAAGAGTCCGGCTCAAGTTAAGTTCTAAATTATTCCGAAGATATATCTCTGGAATATTTCAACGTTCACTGAACTTACGGTGTGCCCAAAGATGTATCTCTGAAATAAGGGGGCATATGTAGAAATCCACATGGTGCACTAGAAACATATACGGTGAATTAAGAAATTCTCAAAATAGAATTAAGGGATTGTTAATTACACCACATGGCTTACCCATCAACTCTAGTGAAATTTTGGAAGTGGAATATGGATGGACCAAAACACACTTTAAATACAAGTAAAAACTATGTTCAAATTTTAAAATTTGAACGCATCATTTAAGTGGTGTGGACACATACACTGAACGCACAAATAATATTGTTCAAGGGTTTGTCCAGGTATTGAAATTTTGATTCGCACATGTTATCACTTACATATAACAACATACAATCAATATTGTTCAAGGGTGTGTTTGGATATTGAAATTTGAATCCTACCCTATTATCACAATTACATAACATACGACCAACAATGTACAAGGGTTTGTCTAGATTTTAGAATATTGATTATACCATGATATCACAAACACATACGCAAATTCAAACAAATAATAAAAAATAACATAACTTAACAAAAATATTTGATATCATATACACAAAATAAACAACATAACATATATCTTTGTTAACCTAAATATAACATGACATTTCATCGTCAACAGATAGTTAAGGGTGTTTCAACATCTTTAAAATATCGTTGGTAGATCTTACAAGTGTCGAATCCCCTCGATTGAACCCTTAGTTATGTAAAGATGAAATGTATTCCACATAACATTTACATCTACATTCATCTTCAGCTTAAACTTAGTGAACTTCATCTGCCCTTGATTATCTATACTCGATCTTAAACACTCTTCAATTGTCTAGGTAATGCAAGATATTCTCTAGTTTGAATTTCAGAACTACAAGATAGTCTGACATGCTTCCAAAACCCATGTAAAATTATCCTTTTTTTCACTTTACAAAAACTAAAAGACAACTTAATGAGTCATTTATGTAGAAGTAACACCAACTATATTCAGAAGTGGAAGCTTGTACTTGTTTGTCTTATATGTTAAATAAATTATCAACATAGTAGGTGTTGTGAATTAATGTCGTCAAAAAAAATATAAATATGAGAAATATTAAGTTTCTTGAACAAACACAAGAAACTCTATTAGGTTTTACGAAAAAGAGAGAAGAAGGAAGAAGAAGAGGCAAGATTGGTTAAAACTGCTTTATTATTTACTTACTCAATAAAGGTTCAAAGATCTCAAACGAATAACAACAATTAACTTCCCTCAAAAACTTGAGAGAACTAGTTTATTTATAGACTACTAAGTTAACTTAGGCTATAAGTTAACTTAACAATTGGGCTTACAAGCAAGGCCTAATTTGACATGCTAACAATCCTAGCATTTTTTAATACTGAATGCTTAAGCATACTTTGACTACAACATGCATGATCAACATGTGAATAGACTTCAACTACATGTTAAACCTTTGTCGAACCATGAATCCATCTCTTCCAAGACTAGAGTTTGATCCAAATACCATAAATTTCTAACTTGGAACAAACTCGACACTAACAAGGGAACTGACTAGCTTTCATCATACAACTTTATCAACTGCATACAGTAGAGAAACTTGCTACTTGGAAATGTCGGTGATCATATCACCAACATTGTCATCAGTCAAAACCTTTAGCACTTAGATTTCTCCATGCTTAATTATCTCTCTAACTAAGTACAACCTCACATTGATGTGCTTGGTTCGCTCACGATAAGCTGAATTATTAGACAAATGTATTGCAGTTTGACTATCACATTTAACAATGATAACTCGACCTTGAAGTTTTATCACCTTAGCAAAACCTTCAAGCCACAATGCTTCTTTTATAGCTTCGGTGAGGGCAAAATACTCCGCTTTAGGGGATAATAAAGAAATGATCTTCTGAAGAGTTGCTTTCTAACTGGTTGTTATGCCAAACATAGTGAACACATATTCAGAAATAAATTTTCTGGAATACATACAACCTGTATAACCAGAGTCGACAAATCCTTTGATTTTGACTTTGCTATCATCACCACAGACTCCGCCATAAATCAAAACTATGTTCAGAGACTCATTTATGTACCTTAGAATCCATCTTAATGCTTTCTAGTGCGTCTTCCCAAGATTAAACATATACCTGCTTACAAGGCTCACTCTGTACGTTATATCTGGCCTCGTATAGGCCACATCATACATCAAATAACCTATTATACTAGCATATGGGATGTTATTCATATAGGCTTTTTCGAGTTCAGTACTAGGACTTTGTGTTATAATCAGCTCGTAGTGAGGATTAGTCAGTGTTAGAACAGGTTTTGAATTTGACATACCAAACTTGTTGAGAATCTTCTTCAGGTAAGTCTCTTGAGATAAGCATAATCTTGACTGCTTTCTATCTTTCTGGATGTCAATCCCAAGAATCCTGGAGGCAGCTCCTAAATCCTTCATGTCAAACTCATTATCAAGTTCAAGCTTCACCTTTATAACATTTTTGACATTGTTACTT